TTGCTATAGATACATACATACATCACTTACAAATGCTTATGGGTCACAGTTATTATTGTTCATAACAAAATTGTTAAATTGAAATTGTTTTGTTTTTAAAATTCTCAGGGAATTGGTGACAGCAGCCAAGGATTGGCAAACTTCTTGCTATTTTGTCTTTTCACTGAAAAATTCAGAGGTCGTCTGAAACTTGCTGCTAAGGAATGTCTTCAGTGTTGCAAATCTCCATCAGGTGATCCACCCCCAAGGATGGACAGATCTGGGGAGTTTCAAAATGACCACAGAACATTGATCAATGAAAGCTCAAATCTTCTAGCAAGCACCAGCACATCTGTAGAGCAAGGACCATAAATTCCATCTGCAAAGGACCCCAAGGAACTGCTGAGCTTTCCTCAGCCAATGAAGAACAATCATAGGACATTCTCTGTTAAACCATTATGGACTTCATCATAATTAGGACTTTTTTTAGCAGGGCACGAGTCCTACAGGACATTAACTTTTGTCCATGGGTCAACTTTACCTTAAATTTATGAAATATTTTTAGAACTGTGTTGGCCAGGTTCTGAGGGTCACGGGAATTATTCCAAGAGCACCATAAGTATTGTTGGAGGTGCTGTGGCCTTATGATTAGAGCACTCAGCTTCAGTTTGAGTGGTTGGAGTTCAAGCCCTGGCCGGAGACATTTTTGTGTTGAGTTCTTAGGCAAAACACTACTCTCACAGTGCCTCATTTCACCCAGGTGTTTAAACGGGTACCCACAAATTTAATGCTAGGGGTGACCCCACAATGGACTAGCATCCCATCCAAGAGGGAGTAGAAATACCCCTAGTCACATCATGCTGTGGAAATTGCAGTTAAGAGCAGGTCTGATGGGACACTTGGCTCACAAACAGACTTTATTTTATAGAAAGTATTGCCTTAAACAATACAATACAATATTCTTTATTTAACAAAGGTGACGTAATTAACCCAATGAGTTATCTAACTTACGGCCTTCACAACAAACCCACCATCCCACCCCAGGGGAGGACGTCCATCACACATTAATCTAAATAAAGTTCAAGTTTATCTCGTCTGTAGGAAATTAACGTCTCCTACCCCAACCCTGCAGGAGACGGGACCTCCATTTATTCATCCCTATCCAAGAAGACTAGAATATCTAATCATTTCTTGATGTTATAGAAAGGTAGCAAATTCTTCTCAATTATTTTAAGACCTTGAGTGTTGGTCCGGCCGGGGCTCGAACCCTCGACCTCCCGCACAACAGTCTAGCGCACTATCCATTGGGCTAACCTGGCGGCGGTTGAAACCTGTTCAGTTACATGTTGAGGCTATGTTATTATTAGATGAAAAACAAGGTATATACTTAAGGCAAAGTAAGTCAGATATTACAACAAGGCATGAATTAGTAAATGCTATACATGTATATTAAATTTCAGAGAAAAAATTAATTAATCTAGCAAAGTTCATTCACTATCCAAAGGTGTCTAACTCAAAATACACAGTAAGAAACGGGAATAAAAAAACTACAATTTGTCTTTATATTAAACGTTTTGACTGGTTAATGTATAAATTAAGTGACTGATGACCGATGGATTGATTTTTGTATCGTCTTTTAATGACATGATGATGATCACATGACAGACAGTATTAACCCCTTCACTCCCGAGATCTCATAAGTTATTTTCCTTACTGTCTGCCAAATAATTCTTATGAAGAGTTCTAAGAATTTAGTATATTTTTTATTTATTCTCATCACCTGTCTACTTGATATTGTATGGATATTGTAAGGAGAAATTCTGCCTTGTTCAGTCATAAGAGTTAAGGGGTCAACCAAACTTTAACCAACTTTAACCCACTAATAAGTCAAAGGATGATTTTTGGACTGAAGGTGAAACTTGCTGTTGGGTATCTACAGATTGATCCAAACCATCATTTAGATATTTTTATTCCAAAAAGAACCTTTCATTTTTTGCCCAAAGAAGGAAAGTAATCATAAAAATAACCTCATGCATCACCTGAAGGTTGATGAAGATACCAGTATCTTGTTTTGATTCCTTGAAACACAAACTTAATTTCATTGAAACGCAAACGTGATTCTTTGAGACACATATACTTAATTCAATGAAACGCAGTCTTCGTTGTTTGTAACGCAATGTTGATTCTTTGAAAAGCAAACTCAAGGAAATCAAGTCACGCTACATACTGAATAGGGAAAGCCGCGATGTGCGACAAAACCACTTTGTAGTATTTGATTTCGGTTCAGGTGACTTCCTCTCGACACTCCCTGAATTTTATTTGGTTAACCAACATAACTCTGCTTTATGACACTGTCGCGACGAGCGAACGCGAAGCAAAGGCGCTCGCTTTGAAAAGACAAGTGAGTACGCCTGCTAGATGACTATTACTCAACGTTGACTCACGTGTCTTGGCAAATGAGAACGGGTACATTCACTTTACTGACCCATCATTTATGAATTACTCAAAACCATGATAAAAAAAGAAAAGAAATTTTCGAATCGAAAGGTGAATTCTTTTGAAAATGCATAGAGATACAGAAGCCTACCGATCTCTCTGATCGCCACTTTTTCAGATCAGTAAAATTATTCAGTAAGTTAGCGGCGAAAGCAACCCGTGACAAATCCGGAACAAATGCGAACATACATCCTTTATTGACTTTTCAGACAATAACTACTACTACAATTAAAACAAATAGCTTTTATTAACTACAATTAATCACCATTAAAATGGAATAACTATTATTAACTTCTAATTAATGACAATAATGGAACGCTAATTGAAAGGAGAAAATCTTTAAGAAGTTCACGTTCAAGGCTATACTTAAAACAAACACTTAATTTTCGAATGCCGATGAGCTGCCAAGTGCAGATTAACAAAAGAATTCAAGGAAACGTTGATAACGTGAAAAGCTCGTGACTGTTTTTGTGATTTCAGTAAGGGTTCGTTGCTAATAATAGGAAAGAACTCTTCATCTGTGGCCTTTCAACGTCAAGTACGAACAGGTTTAGCTCACGTGCAGCGCATGTTTATCATGATGAACAATGCGCCAAGACCAAGAACAGTCTCTTTACCTCGACAGTATTATCACAGAGTTACTTAGCTTTAGTCTATATCTTGTGAATCTTATACTAGCGAATGAATGTTCCGAGAAAAAAATCGTTACAAGAGAAAACGGGCATTTCCTTAGGGTTAGAGAGCCCCACGCCGTATGACCTCCTCGCGCGACCGATGACGGCTGAACTGTGGTCTACTTAACCACGTAATAGAAGCTGTGATGTGCTTAGAACATGTGACAAGATAGGGAGCCAGTTCTAGAAGTTCGCATTTTACACTAAATCATTTTCATTTCATAACGTAACACCCACGCCTATATAAAGGGTTGAAATTAGGAAACTTTCAAAATGTTCTTTGAAACAAAGGCCACCGTCGCAACTACGATCTACGACACGGTGGCCGCCGGGGAGGTTAACAAAGCTTTGACGACAATCTCTGCAAGCTTCTCTTTGTTAGGAACTTTTTTAATCATTGCAACATTTGTCGCATGGAAGGACTTTAGATCGAAATCCAGGCGAATATTGGTGTACATTTCTATCGCCGATTTCTTCATCGCCGGAGGAAACTTACTCGGAGTATGGTTGGTCGACGAGAATAGCAATGCGTGTAAGGCTCAGAGTTTTATTTCAACATGTGCATCGCTTTGGTCGTTTTTTTGGACGGTTTTTCTTGGCCTGTATATGTACACTGCTGTGGCGAGCAAACAGGGTAACAAAGCTGATGTAATGGTGAAGTTTTTCCACGTTATCGGATGGGGGGTCCCTTTGGTTATTGTAAGTGTTGCGCTTGGATTGGGAAAGTTAGGCAAAGAAAATGTCGACAGTGCTGGCTGGTGCTGGATTGACGGGCGTTTGAAGCAAGAGGAGAAAAAAATTTGGATGTTTATTACAGGAAAAGCCTGGGAAATATCTGCTTATTTTCTTTGCTCAATATTTTACCTGATGTTAAAGTGTCGAATTCGCAAGGAGGTAAGTGAAGGTTCCTTTTGTATTTCAAGGATTGGGAAAGTATTGTCCTTCTTTAGATTGGGGTGTACCCTCCCTTGCCTCCCCGCGTGCTTACTGGAAAGTTCCCACGCGAAAGTTTCATTCCTTTTTTTTTTATTTTTTTTTAGGTTTTTGACAAAACTAGCTGTGTTGTTCACTGCACTTTGAAAATTATTACTATTTTTTTTTTTTGTCATTTCCCTCTAATTTCTAGCGTGTCATAGTGATTGCCTATATGGACATTGCATATGTGGGCATGATTTCATAGTATTCATACTTCTAGTTATGTGCTCTCCATAAATAGCACTACCTGCGATGACAGAATGCTGCTATTAAGAGTGTTTATCCCGTGAACATTGAATTTATGAAATTTTTTTCCCAGATATATGATAACAAAAAACAGTTTGCCTCTCCTGAATCAAAGGAAGCTGCCATCAAAGCCGAAAAAAGATTGATGCTAGTTCCAGTCACATTCATTTTGGTTCGCATTTGGGGAACACTTCGCTTTATTCTTTACACGTTTGCTGGTGTTCACAGTTTGAATACAACTTACGGAATAGTTTTTCTTTATCTACAGGTTAGTTTGTTGTGATATGCAGCTAGTGTAACTTCTTTCTCGACTGGCGTAGTAGCCAATCTTACAATTTTCTGTTTATCAATTTTTGCTAACATGTCTCTGACGATCAAAGTCACAAGACATTCAAGAGAATTGGATTCCCATGTGGATTACTGGCATTTCCGAGAAGTCCTGTGAGTTTGACCCCATTTTTTCAATTCGCGAAACATCGATGAAAAACCCCTCTACCTATCGGTTTCATATTTTTAACTGGACATCAATCCATCCATAAATTCAAAATCTGCAGTTCAATAACTTACAACTGGCCCACGATAATCTTTTCGTTGTAAATCAAAACAATGAATGGCTGGATGCGACAATGTGAACAGCAAAATGTTTCGCTATCACACTGTCACGCAAACTTACGCATGCGACACCAACCTGCGACACTGAACGCCAATTTCGATTTTGTATTAAAAAAAAAAAAAAAACACAACACAGTACAATTCATTAGCTGCAATGCAATATTATTAACTAGAATTTATTGGTTATGCATCAGGTGAGAGATAAGCTCTAAAGTATAAACAGGAACGCGCTAGAACTCCGTTTATTTTTGATCACGGTTTGTGTGGAGATTCAAGTTTGTCTCATGTAGATGTAGAGGAGGGAGACCTGGAGGGGAGCCTGTCTGATTCGTGATAATCTGGCTACAATTCATTGGGCGGCTATCGCTAGGGGCGACGCAACACTCTAGAAAATATCTACTCCTCTTCTCCTAGCGAGCCTCTAGACTTTTTATAGGTTCTTTTAAAAATAAACTCTGCTAAAGAAGGAAGTGGGGACGCGATTTGCACGTTACAAAACCGTGACCTCTCTAGAAGGAATGGCAGGCATTATTTTTTATCATAAATTAGATTTCTTTCTTTTCTTTGTTCTTTAGGGAATTGGTGACAGTAGCCAGGGCTTTGCAAACTTCTTATTGTTTTGCTTCTTCACTGAAAAATTCCAAAGTCATCTTAGTCAGAGCATTCAGAAATTTTCATTGAGCTGCAGGAGATCATTCACCAGTTCATCGATGGTGGAACTCCAAATTTCAAGTAAATTATCAAGTAGTATCCAAGAAACAGATGAGACGTCTTACCTGCTTGCTAAGCCAGACATCAGACAAGGTCCTTAAATTCATGATGTGATTGTCTTTACATTACATTTTGGCCGTCACATCATCAAGGGAAAAATTTACCAGGAGGCCAAAATAAGAAGATAACCTAAAGGTTTGAACAAACCATAAATGAAGACTAAGCCTAATCTCTCCCTGGGACCCCGCAGAACTAGTTGTTTTTAGTATTAACTACAAGTTAAAAAGATATTACTTTGATTATGGGTCCATGTGCTTCAGGTACCAGTTGGTCACAATGTTCACCAAGAAATTATTTAATTAAGTTCCATTTCAATTAACTTTCAAATGTAAATAAAAATGTATGTTTATGTAATAAGGCTATAATTATGATTCAGTATTTCCTAGCATTAGTCATTCACATTGTGACCTGTATTGAAGAAATTTACTTAAGGGGGAATAAAAAATTTGGCTTTATTTCATTTTATAGAGCAAGTAAAATCAAAATTTGTCATGATGAGATTAGAAATTGAACAGACATAACTCCCAGTACATAGAAGAAGTCAAAGTTGAAAATTCAAGAAAGAATAAGAAAGTGCAAAAATAAAAAAAAAATCAGTTTCACAGATATTACCTGTGAGGGCATTTTGGTACTCAAGGGGTGTTTTGATACAATTTTGGCACTAGTGAAAGAAAAAATATTTTGCTCAATGGATGAGAATGATATTGTATCAAGCTGACAAGTTGAAAATCACTTTTAAAAGTAAACTTTGAAAAGTCAATGACTAGTTCAAAAGGACATTTAAGTGAAAAGTTAGTTCTGAGCTGTGTGTGAACAAAGGAAGCACATTAATTTAATAAGCTACACAACATTATCAGATACTGTTATAAAAATGAAAATCCAAGATCTGTATAAATTTGAACAATAAAGAAAGAATTAGGCACACTCTAATGCTAGTGGTCTCTAACTTAAACCCTTCTAATTATACCTGAAAAGAGTATGCTTTTAAAACATCATTTGCCATACCAACACATGTAGAGTAGTCACAGAGTACTTTTTCAAAGCCATTCCCTGCTCTTTGCAATGAGCCACCAAGGAAAGTGTATTTACTGTCAAGAGTGCTTGAATTCTTTGACCAACAGTATGTTCTGATAGAGTAATCCCTAGATGAAGACATCACGCGATAACTATCAACATGCAGCCCAGTGATTGGTCCCACATGATCAGTATGAGTTTGTAAAGACTCAAGTGAAATTAAATCCCATAAACGCACAGTTTTATCATGGCCAGCAGTTACCAGAGTTGATCCCCTCATATTGATACATGACACCTCTCCTGTGTGTCCCTTAAAACAGTGAATCTGTTGCCCAGTGTCTGTATTCCAAAGGATCACATCACCATTTTTGAACCCTGCAATAATTTGGTTCTGTTTTCCATGAACCCAACTAAGGCAAATCACTGCTGAATCACATGGATGTTGAAGCGTCTGCAGCTCAGGGCTCTTCCAGCAGTCTGGTGCAAGGTGTCGTATATCAAATATCTTGACAGTGCTTTCAAACTTAGATGCTACGGCCATAAGATGGTCAGATTGGAGTTTCACGCAATTTAACCCAAATGAACATGTTAGCTGGTATTGAGGACTTGACGTCTGTCGTGGATCCCATATCTTAACAGATCCATCTCTGAATCCAACAAAAAGAAGTTGGTCTCCACCTTTCCCTTGTCCTATTACATCTTTTCCACACACCATTGAAGTTACAACAGCAGAATGGCTTCCTTGCAATGCAGTGGCTTGCTCTGTATTTATGTCCCACAACTTGATGCTCCCTTCAACATCCCCACTTGCCATCAGAGTATTATTGGCAACTACTGTTAGACAGGCAACTGACGATTCATGAGACTGCTTCTTCCATAGACTTCCTCCTTCTCGCACATTCCACACACAGACAGACTTGTCTTGACTGCAACTTGCAACAATGGGATTGACATTCTTTTCAATGATTTCCTCATTATAGATATCATTATTTGTGATAAAAACCACATCTGTGATCTGGCTCTTATGTCCACGTAAGGTTTTGCATGCATAGTCTTGGCTTGGTCTCCCTGTGGATGCACCAGTTTCAATCTTATTTCGAGCAATATAGTACTTCTGCCATGTCCTCTCTCCTTGAAAGAGAAAGAAATCCCTCTATTTATTTTTTGTCTTGATGTTCAAAGTGACAGTAATAAAATGGAACATTCATGGTCTGTTAGACAACCACACTTGCTTAATCTGAACAATAGCAAGTAGATGCTGTATCAATGCACCACTAGGTGAATCCTAGTCACTGATGAATTGATAGAGAACCACAAAAAGCAACAAAAGAAGCTCTTATGTCCTGTGAAATTGTTAAAATGATAAGAAATGCAATTCCTGCAATTTTTTCCTACATTAAATGTATCATGCCTCTTCCAATTAAAATGCACCATTTTGTTTTGAGGGAGGACAGGGGGCTAAACTTGAGTGGATGAGAGATAAAACGATCTTGCAGTATTCATATCGAAATAGGTAGGTATTTCCACCCTTTTAATTTGTTGCGACTGTATTTACAATCACCTAAAAAAACAGTTGAAAATTTAACAGCATCAATACTGAGACTCAAATAACTTCTCTTGTTACTGTGGAAAACTTATTTCCTCTAATAAATAGGTTCTCCCCTCTTTTCAGACTTTCTCAAGGTTGGAACATGGCACGATCGAGGGAATAAACAAGCACAAAAAGCTCTATTCTGTATATAACTGGAGTAGGGGAGGGGATAGAGAACAAATACAGGTAAAAGAAGCTTATCCTGCCAGCTCCTTTTCACGATGTTTGAAGAAACGCATCAACAGCGCACGAACCAGGTTTCAGTTTCCCCAAGTGACAGAAGTTCCACCTCTGCAAACAATGTCTCTTCCATAGAGAACCAACTTGGGAGGCTTCATACCAGTCTCTACAGACTTGAGAGCATTTAGAAAGCTCTCCAGGGGAAAGATAACCGAAAATATTGACAAGTTCGTCAAAAGAAAATATATTTCTCTCTACGTCCGCCATTGCCGAATCCCTTCCCAATCTTCCCAAAGTACTTTGCAAGTGAGACGAGCCGACGATTTTCCAGAGGTTTCTCATATGAGTAGCAGAATGTGTCTTCAAACATGAAGGGATAATCGAGAGCACGTTGGACAGATTGGATTTTGGGACAAAATTATTCTCTTTTCACAAAACTTAAACAGGATATAGTAGGAAATTCGAATCTCTTTGTATTGATAGAGACTTTCCTGGCTGGTCAAGAACATGGCAGATTCACATTCAGAGCGTTTTGATGGAATGTTGCTCGCGATCGCACAGCAGTGCGAAGGAGGGATTGCTGAGGTACGCGATGGAATTACATTTATCCGGAATTATTTTCTCTTGAATAGATTTATAGATATGCCTTCAAAGGGAACAAATATGATAAAACATAGTAATTTTTTTCGTGGAAGTGGTTGATGCTATCATTTCCCGCGAAAACTATATCATTTGTGAAGTGCATGGAGTGTCGTACACCCTTGCTGTTCGTGTATCAAACTTTTCAAGTTGTAGCGAAATATATTGTGGTTCAGCTATTTTGACTGTGGGTGAAAATTTGATTTTCTTCGTTTGTAACTCTAGCATTTTGGGAAAGAGTACCATATAACCCCATACATTAATTCTGCATTCCACTTCTTTGTCTTTCACGACAAAACTTTATAAACAAAGTCTACAAGTCTGAATGCATAATTAATGTTGGGGTTATATGGTACTCTTGCCGCATTTTATGTTAATCTATTTTCATAACCTTGTTTTTGTTTAATGCGATCGCAAAATGTTCCTTTGCAGTTGCTAGATGTATTTTTTGGATTTCTGGAAAGAAAAACAGACTTTTTCATTGGGGCTGGGAAAGCAAATGCTGAAAAAATGGTATTGAGCAAGTTCAAGGAGCATCAGAAGAAAGTTGAAGAGGTTTGTTTGAATTATATGTTACTTTATTTGATTCTTATCATTTATTTATTTATTTACTCATTCACTGGGGCTCTGCTGGGCTTCAAATGTTCTGTACTTGGTAGATCATGTATACCATGCACACCTTGATTTATGAAATTAACTTTTTGGCATGTGTCAAAGTGCAACACCTCACAGCACTGGATCAGATACATTTTGTCATGAAGTGTTGAGAGCTCATACAATGTGGAGTGCATACATGCTGTAGATTTGAAATAACTTCGATCTATTTAGTTTGATTCCTCAGATTTCAATTTCAATTTCAATCCAGCTGTAGTTGATTTGAGCTCCATAATGCTTCAAGATTTCAAATTCTGTGTAGTAATGTGGGAATTGTAAGGACAGCTTCCTTGTTTTTCTGGAAGATTACTTATCATTTCCTTATCTTACTAAGGAGGAGCTGTTTTTATTACTGACTGTATCAAGACTTTGTCGCAGGTACACAGATAAAAGTACTTCTCTTTTTTTGGTGTTTATCAGAAAAAGGAAAAAGAGAAAAAGGAGGCTGAATCTTTGAAAGCAGCAAAAGCCCAAAAGGAAGCACAACAAAAAACAGAGGCAAAGATACAAGAAGTGACAGAGGAAGAAGCAGAGAGAATAAAGAGAGAAGAACAGGAAAGGAAAGAAAAAGAACAAAAAGAGGCTGAGGAAAAAAACACAAAAAAAGATGAAAAGAGTGAAAATGGAGAGGTGAGCCTTGATTCTTGTCATTTAAAAGTGATGAAAACATCTCAAGTGTTTTCTGTAGTCGTCAGAACATTTTCAAAATTACAATTAATGAATACAGAAAAAAGTATCTCACGCTTGTGATGTGTGACTAGTTTTTAGATTTTAGTGTTGTCTTAATGTTTTGTATAATAAAAACTTTTAACATTCTTACTTATTCTTTACCCTGCTAGACTGCCAAAGCTGATGGCTCTGAGGATGAAGATGAAGATGCGAAAGGAAAACTTAAACCTAACTCCGGCAATGGAGCTGACCTTGAAAACTATAGATGGACACAAGTGAGTAACCAAGCCTTATTCTTCATCTCACTGACCAGTAAACTTGTCAAGCAACTGCTAAAACTTGTATGGCTATATCATCCAAATAAAAATCTACTGCTGCATTAAATCCTGTTCAGCATTACTATGGTTTCTTACTGTAAAGAGTACAAAATAATAATCAAATTATTAGTAAACCATTGGTATTACAAGTGAAGGTCATTACTCATTGCTTCCTGAAATGTTATAACATAAGAGCATACATACAAGTCATGTATTATTTGGAGAGCTCAGAAAAGTTAGAACAGAAGAAAAATTTAAGTTTTTGATAATCGTCAGTGCAGTATTTCTGTCCAAGAGGGATAGGTTTTTGAGTAAGTTTTCATTTCACAATCAAATGACTTATAACCAGTTGATTATCAAGGAAACACAAGGAAAGTGACCACTTTTCCATCTGGGAGAGCAGTTATACTTTACTGTGTAAGAAACTGGTTCAAGCTCTTGTGGTGTTAGCCTGATCTAGTCAAGTGTGCAAGACTTGACATTTTTTTCTTTTTCCAACTGACTTGTAACTTATGTGAACTTCAATTCTTTATAATTATTTCAGACATTGCAAGAAGTAGAGGTGAGTTAATTTAAATACACTAGTGAGAAGAATAAAAATTGCAACTTGTCTTTTTTCTGGTATTTAATTAAGAGTTTACATATAACTTTTAAAAGTTTCACAATAAGTGAACCAATCTCCTGATTGCTGCATTGATGAATTTTTTCCGGTTCAAGTTGCCATTGTATTGTGCACAGCCACCTTTCCTGAATGTCTTTTTTCAGAAGGAAGGGTAGCTGCTGTATACAAGCTAGTCACCAGCCAGTCACCCGCACTAAAATATAAGTCACCTTAATGTAAAAACTGGTTGGAAGGTTGTGTGTCAATAGAATTTTGTATAACAGTCCACTGTGATGAATTTACATTGTTCAGTCCCAAATCAGCATTGGATGATGTATTTATACTTATATCATTGAGCTTCCTCTTATTTACATGAAGAAGTTGTGATCAAATTAGCTGATAAGATCTGACAATGCTGGAATATAACTTTTTGTCACTGTTCTCTGACATATAACCACAATTATTATAAATTTCTAAAGGTGTTCTTTTGAATTTCAGGCCTGGATTCCTTTAAATGTCAGTTTTAAAGTGAAAGGAAGAGATGTAATTGTGGATATACAACAGTTTGTAAGTGTTTTTATGGTAATTGTTACATGATCAAAACATCCATTTTTTTTTGTGTAGAACCATACTGCAACAAAACGATGATCACACAAAACCCTGCCTGCTGTCCAAAGTATATACATTGAGCATAATTTTATGGTATTGTGGTTCAATTTGATTTCCCTCTTTTCTACCTGTGGCATTTTGTATTAATCAGTGATAAAAATGTTGTAAAAAAAAAAAGAAAGTAGTAGTTTGAATTCAGGGTAATAGTGAACCCAAAAAAATATATCAAATGTTTCCTGTGGTGAAACTTTGTTATTCTGATGACAGGCATTTAGTGCTTCTCGTCACTTCAAATGTTATGCCCAAATTTTCCTTTGAGGAAATTCTGGTGAACAACNTCTTTTTTCAGAAGGAAGGGTAGCTGCTGTATACAAGCTAGTCACCAGCCAGTCACCCGCACTAAAATATGTCACCTTAATGTATAAACTGGTTGGATGGTTGTGTGTCAATAAAATTTTGTATAACAGTCCACTGTGATGAATTTACATTGTTCAGTCCCAAATCAGCATTGGATGATGTATTTATACTTATATCATTGAGCTTCCTCCTATTTACATGAAGAAGTTGTGATCAAATTAGCTGATAAGATCTGACAATGCTGGCATATAATTTTATGTCACTGTTCTCTGACATATAACCACAATTATTGTAAATTTCTAAAGGTCACAGTTCTTTCGAATTTCAGGCCTGGATTCCTTTAAATGTCAGTTTTAAAGTGAAAGGAAGAGATGTAATTGTGGATATACAACAGTTTGTAAGTGTTTTTATGGTAATTGTTACATGATCAAAACATCCATTTTTTTTTGTGTAGAACCATACTGCAACAAAACGATGATAACACAAAACCCTGCCTGCTGTCCAAAGTATTGTGGTTCAATTTGATTTCCCTCTTTTCTAACTGTGGCATTTTGTATTAATCAGTTATAAAAATGCTGTAAAAAAAAGAAAGTAGCATTTTGAATTGAGGGTAATAGTGAAGCCATAAAAATATATCAAATGTTTCCTCTGGTGAAACTTTTGTTATTCTGATGACAGGCATTTAGTGCTTCTTGCCACTTCAAATGTTATGCCCAAATTTTCTTTTGAGGAAATTCTGGTGAACAACTTGTAGATAGTGCTAAAATATTTCTGCTTGTCATTGTAAAGTTTTAGTCAAATTACCTCGTTATTTTCCTGAATTTCCCTGTTTTGTCTTGCTGTAAACTATTAGGTATAAAATTGGGTTTTATTATTTTTTCTTTCTTTCTCTGTACATAGCATTTAAAGGTTGGCCTAAAAGGACATCCTCCAATCATTGATGGGGACCTGCCAAAGAAGGTAACTAAAATTTAATTTATCCTTCATGGGCAAGGAAATTTTTAAAAATAACAAAATAAACAAAGGATTTTGCTAAACAGCGATGACCATTTAAATTTATTAGGTGAAGATTGAAGAGTGTTCGTGGGTGCTGCAGGATCAGAAAAATGTTGTCATCACTCTAGAAAAAGTAAGTGAAAACCAGTTTAACTGGGTTAATTTCTTTTCCCCATAAAAGACTTAAGCTTTCAAGTATTTTGAGGTGTGCAATTAGAAGTTATTTGGCTAGCTGTAAAGATCTTGACCCTCTTTTAAAGATTACAAAATGTTGTGCAAAATGTTCTTTTCTGTAAGATAGAAGTTAGCAAGATTGTCATTTTGGCAGGAAAATACTGTTAGTGGTTGTTGCATTATTATAATTGATAGTTGCCATTTTACTACCAGTTTTGTAGGCAGCTAGAAGTTAGTTTTTTTCTGGCAACCATTTCAAGATTCTAGGTCACCAAATGGTGACTGAATAAAGTTGAGTTTTGAGCTGTGTTAGTCACTATAATGGTTGTTTGCATGGACTTTTTGATGTTTTTTCAATGTAAAACCCATCTATTGTCAATTACTAATCACCCCATGTGTGTTTTGTCAGGTTAATAAAATGGAATGGTGGTCACAGCTGTTGACAACAGATCCAGAGATTAACACCAAAAAAGTTCAACCAGAAAATTCAAAGGTTAGAATGCTATGGAGAAAACTATAAAATCACTACTTTTAAACAATATTTGTTTTATGCCTCTAGCAGAAACATTACAGCTGTTAAGCTCTGAAAACAGTAAAAAATTTCTGCGCTGAAGTTTAAAGTGTTTAATGTACATTATCAACTCAGATACGATGAATATGAAAGCAAAATAATTAATTTTTGTCATACCTCAACCCCCTCTCCCACACCAACACAGCACCATCATTACTTTTGAACTTACCTCTGTTGTTCAAACTCTGTAAATGTCAACCAGCAGAAATATTTTGAAAAATGCTACTGTATTTCAAAAAAAAAGTTAATCAGCAGAGATAATTTTTTGTTATAATTTTAAGGGTTGCCCTTGCTCCTGTTTTGCATGCTAGAATGAAATCAAAAGTGTTAACAATTTTATTTCGTAGTTGATTAAAACATCAGTAAAGACCATTTATGGCTGTTTTTTTTCTGCAGCTAGGGGATTTAGATGATGAAACACGAGGAATGGTGGAAAAAATGATGTTTGATCAAAGACAAAAAGCTGTAAGTGTTAATTAGGTCATCAGATTTATGCCAAACAATATGATGAAAAAGATGGTATAGTGGTCTCACTTAAGTAACAGATTCGCTTGTCAAATAAAAAATCAACCTTTTAAACATTTGGCCGTCATTTGTAGATGAATGGATTTGAAGAAAATTTAAGCGATTTCTCCACTTAAACTGAGTCAAAACTCAAATAATTACAAGTGCACTACAGAAAAACACACTCTAGATAGTTGATCATGACTGGATATCAGGCTTCTGAGAAGTCAACTTCAGTTGTAAAATTTGAACTTTTGATAACCTTGGACATTTGTTCTTTTGTTAGATGGGATTACCTACTTCAGAAGAACAGAAAAAGCAAGATATCCTGAAAAAGTAAGTTTTTCATGTTATTGAAGCAGACTCGCACATTTAAGGCTGATTTGAGGCTTCCTTAAAAAATGGAATTGAAATACCCAATGTCTGACTTACTTACATGAATTGCATCACTTAGAATGTTAGAGACCTGTCTTTTTCTTTAGTAAGAAGGACTCCCTCGTATTAGTCCTGTGGTTTTATCCCTTTAATTCCCAGAAGTGATTAACTTGTAAGTTTTCTCTATAATATCCTTACATCACCCTTCAAACAGGTAATGATAATACTCAAACTTATCAGGTAGAAGTTATTATCTTGATCTAACACCAAATTCTCATAACTTATTAATAAGGAAATGTGTAGCAGCAAGAGGGGAGAATTCACAATCAGATCTGGGGAGTTAAAGGGTGAATTGGGCTCCTTGCCTTATTTAAGTGTTGTTATTCAAGTATTGTAAACTTACTATTTTTAGTGATGTGAACCACCTTTCTCTTTATGAATTGCAAATGAAATTGTAATTGTCATTTTATATTTGATCCTTTTCACCAGGTTCATGGAACAACACCCAGAGATGGACTTCTCAAAAGCCAAGTTCTCATGAATTTTATCCAAGTTAATGACTTAAATCAATCAAGCTACTAGTTTATTGCTTGAAATTTAATGTGAGATGAGCAAGATCCAATATTGGCTAATTATTGCTTGGTTTCCACAAAGGACATTTTTGTGTGCTGTCTATTACCTTGTGTTTTGCAACAATGTTTTTTTTTTTCCCTTTGAACAAAACCTTGTCATTAATTATTGTACTGTGCAGCCATTGTTTGGGATATCATGAAAGACTTCCCCCAATAAAAAGGCTGTGAAGGAAATAAGAGATTGGTTTTCCTCTTTCTTTACCTGTAGAATGTAGAACACCATAGGTTTTGACACTGCAAACAAAAATAACTTGAGATGGTATGTAGAGCTATCAGATTGATTGCATAGAAGTATAGATACCCATCTATCAATTAAACAATTACCTTTTATTCAGTTTGTAGTTTTCTGCATGGTTATTTGTATAATTTGTTGGATATCACTCCCATTGTATTTTTGTTATTTCGTGATGATTAAATAATTACCTATCGATACCTAAAATTCATAAAAAAACCAAGAACCCATATGGAAACCAGACCATCCAATAATAATTAAAATAAATGGATGAGACTAATAGAATAATTTATCTCGAGATGTAACAATTTACTTGAATTGGGAAGGTTACCAGTGAGCCTCAAGTTTGATTTACTGTAAAAAAATTAAGCTAACTTTCACGTTTCTCGCGGATTAGCCGTTGTTTTAGGTTAGAAGTAACCTACTTGGGGTGTATTACCGAGCGAGCCATCGATGAAGTTGATGCATCTTATGAAGGGAAAGAGGACTTGTTGAAGAGAAAAAGGAAGCTGAACCAGGTGATCTGTGACGTCATTGCGGGGACCTGGGGAAAGAAATTTTAATGCCTTATCCCATAAATCAACGCGCGCACCAATTCAATCTGTTTTCGATCGTACACCATGCGGGAAAGTTTGCGACAAAGAAATGTTCTGAAAGACATGTGTCTATCAATAGACTGTCATTCATCCATAGTTTGGAGAGTCCGTCATCGGGTGTATCTATTATTTTGCCAACTTGAGCTTGAACATCAGAATCAGGAACATCTTCAATTGTGATACTAGCAGCTGCTACATCCACACTTTCTGTCTCAATATATTTAACAATTCCTCGAGACATACCAACAAAGCCAGTCTCACCATGTATCATAGAATGACCAATGATCTTTCCAACCAGAATAAAATTTCCATCCTCAAGCAGATCCCAGTCGTGAACAGGCACAAGGTGATTCGCTGTGCCTGTAAATAACATACTACCACCACTTTGGATTTCCTGGGTGCAGGAAGTCAAAGCAAGAAAAAAGAACTCACTGCTTGGGCCACCAGCATCACTTCTGAAAGGTGAAAATTTACTTACTTGGATGGCTTCTGTGAGTCCAATGCTGGGATAGTATTCTCGTCTCAGCCCTCAATTCTTTCCCACAGAAGACTGTTTTAAAAGTTTCATTTCCATCAGGGAGTACATTTTGAGGACGTACTCAGTTTTATTGTGCAATGGTAATGTGCTTAAGAGACATGCACAAGCGAACTACCTGGCTCTGAGGAGTGGGATCTTTCAAGACCCGATACCTTTCCTCGGGATTTCCATGGACATTCGAGCTTGGTTGGTAAGTTGCCTGAAGGCCTCCATCGGCTGCTGGCTTAAGGATGGAATTTTTTGTAGCAGCTCTTTCAACTGGCTCAATTTAGGCTCATTTGGACGCATCAGTCCCACCGTAATCCGGTATGGTCGTTTTTCACTTGCCAGGATACATTCCTCCGTCCATTTGCCACTCGATTTCTGGTTGACTTCTGCTTCAATAGTACGACTCTGCCTTCGAACCTTCCTCTCCAACTTTGGTAATGACATGACATCTAGACTCAAGGAATCTTCAGTCATGAAGATGAACAGAAATGAAATGGACAGACTTGCAGAGTTGTGTAGCACACAACTACCTTTTTATACTGTAAAAATTCCAGGTATCATTGTGGTTTACAGTATCAGTTGGGTTATATACTATACCCAATTTATGTAAAATATAGATTATAATTTAACAGGAATTTTAGTGAAAGGGTGCAAACTTGTGATAGGCATACATGTTATTTCCTAATTTTAAAAGGACTCTGATAATTTTGGAACATGTTGCTTTACACATTTTGTTTTTGTTATTCGTATTGTGTAGTTCCAGTAACTAGCCCATTATCACCCCTCTCCTCCACAGAAGGCAAATGAAAATTCCTGGGGGTCTCATTCTCAAATGCCTCAACCTATTTGAAGATTTTTCAGAATTTCTGGAGGGTCGGGGTGCTTATAAAATATCCCTTCCATGGGGGAGATATGAAATTTTACAGAGCTACACATTTCGTAGAAATATCCATAATCACCCTACAGACCTCTACCTCTATTGTTGCAAGGAAAGTAAAGCTAAAGACAACTTTCTGGTGCCTAAGTGTGCTAAACCAAAAAAACTTTCTGTGGATGAGATATAGATATTTTCTGGCACAATACAATCACTGTTGATGTGAACTAGTTTGAAAAAGGCACATTTCACCTGCTGCAATTTTTGCAATTCGCAAACATAGTGTTTCAGATGACTGAAACCCAAGGTGAGCAGTACCAGGGTAGTACTCCAAAAGGCTGTATCATTCAAATTTTTATGCCCAGTGTTCCCAAGATTTTGTTTTGCAAACTCTCTGCGCTTTTGTTTAGTGGGGGCTTTTCCACATAGTTTATCTCAAAATTTTTTTTTTTTTGGCAACTCTCTGCATCTAAAACTGTCCAAACTGGTTGTGGACAGATGAACTTCATGTCACCCAGTTGGCTCTGGGGCTTCTGGGATTGAATAAGTAGATTTGGCAGATGAACTGCCAGTAGATAACCTCCTTTCCTTACCATCCCCACAAGTGTATCAGACTAATAATTTTTATTTCTTGCCCAGTCAGTGGATGTTTAATTGTTTTTAGCTCTTGAAGCTGTTTGTAAACAGCATGACCACATTTTTTTTGTTGTTTCATAGTCATCATTGCCCAACCAAAGGGCAACAGTCAAAACTGTGCTAAGTAAATTGTAAGGCTCAACTAGTTTCACTCTACTGGTTTCTGTGGTAAAAATGATGAGACCATTTAAGCCACGGAAAACCATCTTTGTAATCCAATAGAATCAGATAATTGTTGGGTGTATTTAGTACACTCTGAGTTCCAGTTTGGGCAAGAAACAATGAAATGTATTTTCAATGTCAACATGGCCTACAACCACTTCTCCAAATTCATTAAATTCTAGACCAATTTGTTTCAGTAATTCTTGGCGGGTGACATTCAGATTACCAAAAATCTCACCTTTACTTAAAATTAGATTGATGCCAATGGCCACTTCCGATTTTTTCCCCACTTGTTTCTTAGTGCATCTTGTGTTTCCTTTTGTCCAATCGGAAGGGACGTGACAATTCCACAAGAAAATTTCAAAAATGCCGAGTGCTGTTTTTTAAAAACACAAGGCATA